ACAGCAAGAGAAAGACCACAAATCACATCAGGGAGTCGGGTAAAAAAAGAAGAAGTGCAGACCATGACCCACAGGAAAAATCAAGCACATCAATGGCAACGAAACTGACACATACAATGAAGGAAGTTGTCAGCAACAATAAATGTTATATGGATGCAGTAGAAAATTCGTACAACATTGAAAATGATGACGATAATAATAATAATGATGATGATGATGAGAATGAGAATAAAACAGTGGTAAACGATGATGGCGATGAGAGTTGTGACACTGAATAATTTTTATTTATTCTTTGTAATTTTTTTTTTTTGCAATAAAAATTGCATAGATCAAAAATTTTTTTTTCATTCGTATTTGTATTTTTTTTTCTTTGCAATAAAAATTATGTAGATCAAATTTTTTTTCAGAAAAATAAAAAAAAAAAATTTTTTCTGAAATTACCACCCAGCGAAAGCAAAAAATTCCTTCCCAAAAAATTAGGTTCAAAAAACAAAGATTTTTTGGTTTCAATTGCAATTGCAACGCATTGCCTTGCAATCCAATTCAACGCATTGCCTTGCAATCCAATTCAACGCATTGCCTTGCAATCCAATTCAACGCAATTGCAATTGCAACCTGCTTTATAAAACAAAACATTTGCTGTACGACACAATTTTGCTAAATATGGCGAAAACGTTGGTCGCGCAAAAAACCGAAAAGACCAGGCGCGGCTAGACGCAAAAGGAGACAATCGGCGAGAAAACTGCACGGAAGTCGCACGACTTGCGAGTTTTGGAAGGAGATGGTGACACAGCAAATGTTAAATCTTTTTTTTGTGTTAATTATGGATTATGACAAAAAAATTCAAAAGAAAAGCTTCTTTGACATCCATCTGTTAGAGAGGTTGTAAATGTGGTAATTTGATTCAGAATTTTTGGAAAGACATTTCAAAACCTAGCGCCCGCAAACTTAGAGTTAATGCAATACAAGTAACTAATTTTTTTGACAAAAAAACCTCTAATGTCAGAAGAAAACTATGTCATGGTTTAAACAATGAAAGAACAAAAATTCATTTTAGTCATGTAGCAGGAATAACATCATATGGAGGTGCACCACCAGTTGAAGATGTTACAAAAGAATTATTTCGCAAAAAAATTAGAATAAATTGAATGAAATAGAAAGAAGAAAATTGTTAGATGAATTAAAAAGTAGAGCAAATTGGATAAATGATAGTATTGATTTTTGTGTTTGAAGTATTTCCTCCACAACATATCTTGACACTGATCATACTAGAAACATTCATCATTTTTGTAAGGAATTGCAAAAAATAGATTACTTCATGTTAGCATTTATTACTTTAATTATTTAAATGAAAAATAATAACCATTATTTTTTGTTCAGAATGCAATATATTAAGAAGAATCTTTTAGTATTCCATGCTGCAATCCAAAAAAGGAAACAAATTGGTTGTAAAAGCGGTTGCAACCATTTTTATATGACACAAGATGGTAGCAACCACCATCAAAAGTTGCAGCCAGTATCCTCAAATCTTTCCAAAGGGAAGAAGAAATTATGGTTGAAGTTGCCCAATTAATGGGAAGTTTTTAAATGTTAGAGATGATAATGATGAAGATTTAAATCTGAGTCTACAAGTTAATTTATTGAATAATTTAAATAATAAATCAATTGTAAATTTAAAATTTTCTACCTTAGATTATGACAATTTATGTGCTTCACTACATAACCAGAGCACTCCATCAGATTTATATTTCAAAATATCCTTTATAGTAGACATCAAAACATCTCAAATAGATTAGATTTATCAAATATTCTTAATTAATCAATCACTAGTCATCATGTTTCATATTTAACAAATAATTCAGATACATACAATCAACCAAATCAAGTCTTCAACACTGGGGAATTTGTCAAAAATTTCAGCAGATAAATTCACTTTTACCAAATAATAATAATAACAATGTTAATAGTAAGTTGATATTTTATTTATTGCTTTTAAAATTTTTTAAATACAGTATATATTAATTAACTATGAAATTATTCTGCATATTTACACAGAAAATATATCTCCAATACATCCTGCACAAAAAAATAATTTCATATACATTGATAAATTCAAAATTTATTTGTTAAGATTCTGGCATTTTTTCCTCAAATTCATCTGGTAGCTTTCATTCTTATATAAAACAACTTATTACAAATATAGATACAATTAGTTATTTATCTAGTATTGTATTTTTGCAATTAAAAGGAAATTTGTTTACAAGCCAGTGCGAGGAAAGAAAATTTTTATTTAGCCATTTATCATCAAAACAAATATTACATTATGTGGGGAATCAAGTTAGTCATTACCATAACATGATTACTTTGCATTCAACTGTGTTAGAAATTTTTAATATTTTATATAAGTCAGATTTCTTTTCATTGTATGAATGTAAAAAAAAATTAATAAAATTTTTAACTGGGGTAAAAAAAAAGGTATAAAAAACTAAATTTATGCACTGGTATGATAAAAATTGGTTAATTTTTGAGGTAGAATTTACAACTTTTATATAACAGTTCAAATATAATTGTCCAAGGTCCTACTGAACTTGTTATTTTTTAAATGGGGGCTTTTGCCCATATTCTACCCTAGGATAAAGGAGTGTAGCTCAATGAGAGCATGTATCTCACAAGTATAAATATGGCAGTTCGATTCTGCCCACTTCTATTGTGATAGTCACAATGATCACTGGCATCAAGGAGAAAGCTGTAAATAAAATGGTTCATATTTTTTTTGGCACATTATAAATTAATCATTTTCATAAGTTCTCTGTTTCTCTTTAATTTTTATTTGACCAACTGTATTTGTTAAATGGGGGCTGGTGAGTAGGCATGCCATCAACAAGACAACAACCCAAGCTCAAAACTCTGAATTCAGGGAAAATCCAAAACAGCAACCCAGGTTGTAGCTGCCTGAGTTGAAGAATTTTGAACCAATCTTAACACCAACTTTATTCTAGAGTGGTCATGCATGTTTATGACAGGGAAATTTAATTAAATCTGACACCTGTGATCAACATCAGATTTATAAAACCATAATTAATAATCAGGAAAAAATTTTTTTTTTGATCCTTCCTATTTATTTATTCTTGTGAACCGGGTAGACATGCATTATTAAAAGTTTCATTTCTGTATAGCCTTGGTATTATCACTACTTGTGTGATGCAATTGTTTGTTATATCAATGATGATATCAAATGTATTGAATATTCATTGTGATTAATGGAGGAGAAAGGCATTCACATACAAGGAAATGATTAAATAGCTGTCATGTTTGTTTTATTAAAGACATATGGAGACTGGACCAACAAAACACGGTCCTGGGCTCCTTGACTCAAAATTGAGCTTTTTGTATCAAATTAATCAGCAATTCAAGGATTATATTTTGGTACAATTT